AACCAAATCTTGTTTTTTCTCAGTAAACACATTTTGTCTTCAATTATTTTCACATTGCATATTTTTCCTATTTTAATTTTTGTTTTGAATGTATGGTAAAAACTGGTAAAATGTACCAACAATCACATTTAAAAAATATACACTTTTTGATATACCATTAAAAAAAAAAAAACAGGTAGCCCATCTGAATTAGGACATTTAGGCTATCCATCTAATAGTAGCCTACCAAAATCTTATTAACAGTAAGTTAAATCTTACTGTAGTCTTCAAATCTGGGTACTGTCATACATTTTAAAATCACAAAGGGAGTTTGGTCCCATCAGGCTAACGTGACAGTCACGACTCATGCAGCTGTAAGGTTTTCTTTTGTTTTTACTCGCGATCTTTACAACACGCATTACATTAGTATTTCATGACACACTCGTTTTATGCGTATTTGGCGCCACCTATTGTTGTGGGTGTATTATTGACATGTCAAAGTCTAGACCCTGAATATAAGACGACCGCGATTTTTCAGATGTATTTCCAAGAAAAAACCATTGTCTTATATTCGGGTCAATACGGTATTATGATAATACAGTTAACGTGTTATTAGCATTATACTAGCAGCTCTTAGCACTTGATCCTAGCATGCTTTAACATGGTTTTAGCATTTTTTAGCACTTAGCTAGGTGATGCTAGCATTATATAGCATATTGTTAGCATGATGCTAGCACATTATGGCTTATTTTAATAATATTTCAGCAATTACCTATATTTTTTGCATGTTGTAACACTAATCACTATTAGCATGTAGCTATTTACTGCTAGCATGTGTAGCATGTTGGAAGTCCTATTTGCTCACATGAGTCAAACCAACTCATATATCTATGCGATATTCTGTTGCAAAGATATAGGACTTGCTAAATGGTTGCTAGGGTACTCTGTTTGGTTGCTAGGGAGTGGCTTGACAGCTGCCAATGATGATTCTCCAAAGGCTGTTTACCAGTATGAATGATATAAACCCAGAGATTGTCTTACTATAGGGAGATGAGAGGGTCTGTATTACTTACTATTGGAGAAACCGTAACGGTCAATTTGGATCACGTGTGCTGTAATCACATTACAGCCTTGATGTCATTTAATTTTAGTCAGAGTTTTGTGACATTCAATCGCCGTTTACGGATACCATAGGAATGAATGAGGAGTGTTGTAAACTGAATCCCACCTGTTGCAAAAAGTCAGTGACTTCTCAATAAAACAGCATTTTTTTTCTCGGTGTAAACTAAAAATAGTTCAATCCAAAAGTTTTGTTTAGTGTAAAACATGTTGAAGATTAGCTGATAGGCTGTCGATTTATTAAATTATAAGCTGTTTCCTCTAAAAAGTGGTTTATTCAGCGTAGTAAAGCATCTCCTCCATTGACATCCATTAAAAAAATGGCCTCTAGTCTCCTTTCCGTTAGCATTAGCCGCTACGCTTTTATTGGCTAAAGGTTGCAGGGTTGCCTTCTAGTGTATTTGTATAAACCAACCCCCATGTCTTGATGGCATTCAGATTTGAAGATAGGCCTGTTTTGGTTTGGGTTGCTAGGGTGCTTGATAGGGCATGGCTAGATTGTTGCCAAGGTGATAATTAAAGAGTGCTTGGCAGTCTGACTCAAATGAGCCCACCCCTATCCCTTTATGTTATTGTGTTTCACTAATATTGCCAGTTAAATGTATTATATGGTTGCTAGGGTGGTCTAAATTGTTGCTAGGGTGTGACTAAACAGTTTCCATTGTGATAATTATAGACCACTTACCAGTCTGAGTCAAAAGAGCCCATCCACTTGTCTGTATGATTTTGTTATCTGCACTGTGAGCTGTGAGGTCTTATATAGACAGGTGTGTGGCTTTGCTAATCAAGTCCAATCAGTATAATCACACACAGCTGGACTCAAATGAAGGTGTGGAACCATCTCAAGGATGATCAGAAGAAATGGACAGGACCTGAGTTAAATATATGAGTGTCACAGCAAAGGGTCTGAATACTTAGGACCATGTGATATTTCAGTTTTTCTTTTTTAATAAATCTGCAAAAATGTCAACAATTCTGTGTTTTTCTGTCAATATGGGGTGTTGTGTGTACATTAATGAGGAAAAAAAATTAACTTAAATGATTTTAGCAAATGGCTGCAATATAACAAAGACTGAAAAATTTAAGGGGGTCTGAATACTTTCCGTACCCACTGTATACCTCCCTTCTTTTTTCAATGGAAATGTATGGGCTGGTTGCTAGGGTGTAAATGGTTGTTAGGGTGTGGCTAGGCAGTTGAAATTCACCATTTATTGGTGGTGGTGGTGGTGGTGGAAGCCAAGTTTGTTTACCATTAACCATCAGGACTGGATGGTCAGGCGAACTTGTGAAAAAACATTAGAAGCTTATCTTGCACTTAGTCATAGCCAATACAGCATGATCTTTTCTGGGTCATTCCTTGAAATTGGTGCCCTTCTGCGTCCTTAAGAAATAATCAAGCATAGAATAAATATAACAACAAATAAATTTGTGATTTAAAAGCATAACAATACTATGTATTCTTTCATCAATATTACATTAAATCAAAGTCAATTAAATATAAATTTAAATAGCTTTTATGCTGATAAGGGTAAGGTTTTAGGCCTGTCTCTCACTATGATTTTTCTTTTTCAGCACGACTTTTAATTTGCAAAATGAAAGCAAAACAAAAATTACATTTGCATATTATTCTAAATACGGTCTCATTGTTAAGCAGTGTTTTTGGCATAAGTATACATTTCTTTCTATAAAATATATATCATTTTATTGGTGTCCCATGATTTGATGTGACCCCTGTTACCCTAATCAAAAACCCTTGTAAAATAATGGTACATTCAAGTGTCATTTTTATTTTGATAAAGAACAAGCTGTGATTTCAAAGTAGCAAAAATATGTTGTGTGTGTGCGTGAGGCGCCGGCGTGATCACTGCATTGTTTTCCCTTCTAAAAGAGGAAACTGTTACTCTGTTATAATTTATGATCATACCAATGCTGGTTGGTCATACAGTACATATAGAAGTAAGACATCATTCAAAACTGTCATGCTTTTTTAAAACTAAATAAAACTGTAAAATAAAGAAATCTGTAAAGCTTTTGCAAAATAAAGAAAACTTCTTTCTGCTGTCTCAGTTTCCTTTTCTGTGAACTTTGGAAAGCATCACATGGAACCGAAACTCAGCACATTTTTTTTCTTTCGTTTTGTTAATCTTAACAAAAGATTTAAGTGAGGCCTATATATTCCTTTTTATGTATATAGTTTTATTCCATTTTCTCCGTTCACAGAAGCACTGTCGGTGTGAGCCCTTGTTGAATCCATGTTCTACTGCATTATCCTGCAATTTTAGCTGGTTTCAAAACCAAAAACAAGCTGCATATTACCTGCCATTGCGACTTACCGATGATGAATTGACAGCTGAGTGTGGGCATTTCACTCATTGAATGCGTCAACATCACATTTGCATAGGCTGTACTACTTGAATTCATGATTGGTTGACTACAAAATTAAAATATTAAATGGAATGATAAAATAACGTTATTAAACGGTTAATGGCCATTTCAAATTTTCGATTCTGTTCGGAACTATTAAATTTGTGTTCAGTTAAATTTTAATTTCTGGCTATGTTCCTGTAACAATTTTGTTCGTTTTGGGTTTTCGTTTTCGTTCCTTGATCCGGTTCATAGCCCTGTATCGTAATTACCATGTTTGCAAGATATCAACTTTTCAAGTCAAGTCACCATTATTTATATTTGTTATATATACTATATATATATATATATATATATATATATATATATAGTTGACTACAAAATTAAAATATTAAATGGAATGATAAAATAACGTTATTAAACGGTTAATGGCCATTTCAAATTTTCGATTCTGTTCGGAACTATTAAATTTGTGTTCAGTTAAATTTTAATTTCTGGCTATGTTCCTGTAACAATTTTGTTCGTTTTGGGTTTTCGTTTTCGTTCCTTGATCCGGTTCATAGCCCTGTATCGTAATTACCATGTTTGCAAGATATCAACTTTTCAAGTCAAGTCACCATTATTTATATTTGTTATATATACTATATATATATATATATATATATATATATATATATATATATATATATATATATATTACAATGCAGATTGTGTCAAAGCAGCTTTAAAGTATTAAACAGGGAAGTAGTGTGTCAAAATAGTTTGTAGTTATCCTCTGGCCAGATGAAACCAGCAGTTTAATTCCAGGCTGCAACAAAGTCAGATTGTGCAGAGGACTCATCTGGTTCCCGTGGTCTTGTCCCGATGGCTGATGAGGTCTTTGGAGGGGACTTGTCTCTAGGGCTCATATAGTTGACATGGTCTCCGCTGACATTCAGGGCTGTCGAGGTCATCTCTGGGTACTGCAGGATGCCGTATCTGGTCTAGATATGGACTAGATCCGGGTGACTGCAGTGACCATCTGATCTGGAAACAGTCTGGATCTGGGTGACTCTGGTGACATAAGAATGAAACAGACTAATATTAGTGTAGATGCCATTCTTCTAACTATGTAACAAGTACATCAGGTGTTATGGGAAGTGTTTCCGGTTCAACCTGGTTGAACTCAGCAGGATAAATGTGAAAAGAGGACCTTTGGCATGGGTTTTAAAAATGGTTTATAAATATTTGACAATGTTTACAAGTAGGAAAACTGCTCTGAAACATTACAACCAAGGTAAATTAATGCAAATAATTTTTTCCTTCTCTCAGAACATAATTGTAATATTTGTTTTCAAGATACATGTTTTTTATTTCTGTTTTCATCATTGTAATACTAATTTATCATTATAAGTATCAGGATAAGTATTTAGACATGGTCTTAGTACATACTTTCTAATGTAAGATTTTCAGAACTAATGGCAGGTAAAATTGTTGAATTTGTTACATGTCTGATATTATACTCTTTTTCTGACTTTGTGTTATTGTTTGGTTCACAGGTTAAATTCTTATTTCAAGTTCTTTATTGTGAGAGACCCATTTGAGCGTCTAATATCTGCTTTCAAGGACAAGTTCGTGAAGAACCCAAGATTTGAACCTTGGTACAAACATGACATTGCCCCAGCCATCATTCGCAAATATCGCAGGAGTCACCATGATGATAATGAAAGTGTGGGACTTCAGTTTGAAGATTTTGTACGGTACTTGGGCGACAAGTCAGGCCGACAGCGCTTGGACAGGCAGTTTGGTGACCACATTATTCACTGGCTGACATATGCTGAGCTGTGTGCTCCTTGTGATATTTCCTACAATGTTGTGGGTCACCATGAGACTCTGGAGCGTGATGCTCCTTATATTCTAAAAGCTGCTGGTATCGCTGACCTAGTGTCATACCCAAATATCCCACCAGGGATAACCCGCTACAACCGAACCAAGGTGGAACGCTATTTTACTGGAATCAGCCAACGAGATGTCCGTCGGCTCTACGCTAGCTACCAGGGAGACTTCAACCTGTTTGATTACCAGACACCTGCCTTCCTATTGGACTGACGTAGAGATTTCCTGATAATCTTTTTTTTTTTTTTTTAATAAATCTCTGAATTATATGGCTGCCTCAAAAATAGTGTTCAATTGCCTGGCCTATATGGAGTATATATTCTTCTTTTGCACTGATCTGAGACTTAGTTACTTTACACATTATAATATGTTTGTATTTACATACATGTTTGGATTTGGCTTGATCAGGGATCTGCACTAGAGGGTAACTTTAAACATGAATTACTAAGATCAAACCGTGCATTAGTAAAGTTTAGATTTTTTTTTTCTTTAGTAATATCTGTATTTGCCATATGATAATGAAGTGCCATAATATTTACGTTTTATGGATTTCATTAACTGGATTTTAGACAGTATATTAGGTAAAGAAGTACTATATAAATGATCAAATGTTGACAATACTTGTTTGACACCTTGCCTTTTTTTTTTACCAGTTTACTATGGACTAATTTTCTGAAATAGTGTCTTCTCTATCCTTTATACTTAAAGGATGGTAGTACTCAAGCATCCCAAAAGAGATTTTAATAAATCTTACAGTTTTGATATTAACAATGTTCAGTTTCATTCTGGTCTATAATACATTTTCCTTTATCTTGAAACTAGCCTTAGACATACTATCAATCTTCATCATGCAAATATATTTTTATTTTGCAAAGAACCTTTCTATCAGTAAGTATCTAAATTTGTACCATAAAAATCTCTAAATATCAACACCATGATCAAATAAATTAATTTTTCGGTGGCCATATTCGAAGTTTGGGATAAATATTAAGATTTTGTGCTCTTGAAGACCATGTTAAAAAATGTAACATTTGAAGTAAAAAATTTAAAAAAACTTTTTGAGCCAATCACGAAGGATCAGCATTAAAGTGGTTCTGGTTCTGTTGTGGTAAAGGGGTTCATATTAGAACCTGGCCTACTCTTAAGGTTCCTGTATGAACCTTTTTTTAAATGGTCTATGAAGATCTATTTTCTAATTATCTGAAGCCTGCGGTCGTGGAATATGTTAATCATGAACAAGAATAGTAATATTTTTTTATTTTTTACAGATTAAAAATCTTACGTTAAAATAGGGGAGCGGGGCACTAAATAACACTTTACCCTGAAAGAACGGAAGTAAAATATTCCATAGGTGTGGCTCATGTTAACATGACCATTTGACAACTTAAAGTGGAACTGAAGCAGTCAGTCAAGTTAACATTTAGTAAATACATTTTCACTCTAATGAATGATTCCATAATAAATCAGGACAAATGTAACCATTTAAAAAAAAAAAATCCTTTTAGCTTTTGTAGCAGCATCACCAATCTTGCAGTAGTAAAACCTGTGACATTGTCCTGCCATTCACATTCAATATTAACAGTTTGTGCTTGTTAGGCAAAGGCAGAGGCGGACTTAACCATTAGGCAAAGGTAGGCGACCGCCTTGGGCCCCCAAAAGCCAAGGGCCCCCTAAAATGCTTTTTATATGCGAGATGCGTTTTCAATGCGGACGCGCAAGTGGTTGCTCTGGTGTTCATTACCACGACAACCGTCTGTGCGTCCGCGTTGAACGTGCTTCTTAACAAAAGTAGGGCGATGTAGCAAATGGGGACGGAATCCCGGAATCTATTCATAAAAACAGAATTTACTGTGTAGCGTGGAATGTGACGGAATGAACGGCGAGGACGCGCGTTTCGTTTGCTATTGCACGAGCAACGCTCGCGGTTGTCGTCTGTAGTAGCTAAATAGTATTTTT